CTTAGTAGCCTCCTCAAAACTCACTCCAACAGGTCCATATCTTTCTTGTGCTGGGGACCTCAGAGCTGGATGCAGGGTTCCAGGTGGAATCTCACCAGAGTAGAGCAGAGGGGCAGAATCCCCTCCCTCACCTTGCTGACCATGCTGCTTAGGATGCAGCCCAGGACATGGTTGGCTTTCTGGGCTGCAAGCTTACACTAGTGGCTCATGTCCAGCTTTTCATCCACAGGGTTTTGCAGGGCTGCTCTCAATGACTTCTTTTCCCAGTCTGTGCTTATGACTGGGGTTGCCCTGATCCAGTTACAGAATCTTGCACTTGAACTTGTTGGACTTTATGAGGTTCTCTTGGGCCCAGTTCTTAAGGTTGTCCATTTGGATGGCATGCCATCCTTCTGTTGTTAACTGCACTGCTCACCTTTGTGTCATCTGCAAACTTGCTGCAGGAGCACTTGACTTCACTGTCAGTGTCATTGAGGAAGGTCTTAAAGGGCACTGGTCCCACGGCAGAGCCCTGGGGAGCCCCACTTGTCAACAGTCTCCATATGGACATGGAGCCTTTGACCAAAACTTTCTGGCTGTGTCCATCCAGGCAATTCCTTGCCTATCAAACAGTCCATTCATCAAATCCATGTCTCTCTGATTTGGAGTTAAGCATGTCATATGGGACATTGAAGACCTTACCGAAGTCTAGGTTGGTGATGTACACTGATCTTCTCATGCTGACTGTTGTAGTCATCCCATCATAAAAGGTCATCAGATGGGTAAGGCATGATTTGCTCTTAGTCTCCAGGTGTGGAGAGAGCACTGTGTTCCTGATCCCTTCAACGTCTTTCCAAGAGACCTGAAATCCCTTTTGATATTTCACAGTCTCATAGTTGCAGCCTCATTCAACCCTTCGTGAAAGAGTAGGAGTGGTTGATAATCCTCTGGTTTTACCAGTCTTGGTAACCTCTTTGTGACATGATGAATGTGGCCCTGAGAGGTAGCAAATCTTGCTAGAGAGGCTGGAGGGTAAATGGCTGCTTCCATGTGTCTCAGTGAGGACTTCCAGTAATTACCATGCTTCATGCACTTTTGGTGGCACTCATATGAATGGTTGATTGTACCAGTTTTGTAGCATTCTCCTTTTCTTGTTCTGGACTACTTATTGTGGAGTTTTCTTCTCCAAGCCTCATATTGTCATATTTGTTATGTAGGGCAATTTGATAGCAAGGGGGAGACTCTTTCTTTTGCTCCAAGCAGAGATGAGAATTCAGTCTCCCTTGCCTTACAAATCAATCAAGCCTATCTCAAGTCTGGATGCTAATGTACCTTCTGTTTCCAAGGTCTTAAAGCAGCAGCTACCTCTCTGCCTGTGTCAGTGCATAATCCCATACCTCAGTCTCCTGCTAGGATTCTCGGATTGCGTGCTGCCTGATGAGCTTCTCACACAACATGGCAACCTGCACAAAAGGCAGGTTACCTATCTGGGCATGCTTGCCCCCATGACAACTACCTCTGCCTTCAGGGCTTGGAGGGACTTTCAGATTATGGAGTTTCCTGCAGCTGAGGGTCCAGGTGGTTCTCTTAATCTTCAGCAAGTCTGTTTGGGTCTAGACACATACCCAAGGTGGCTGTGAGTCTCTCTTGGTTTTAATATGACAACTGTGATGTATAGATGCCATTTTTGTTAAAGAAGACTGCTTCCTCTTCCTCCCCAAGTAGAATTAAGTGGCCTTTTCTGTGTGTCCTTCCTGGAGAACTGCTGCACCATGTCCTGACCATGGCACCACACCCTCGTTGCTCGCACTCCCCGGGGCCATTTAAATCTGCTGGCAACACTCGCACTGTGTCAGCCTCACTCATGAGAACTGATGGTTCCTGGTGGGTCTCTCAGCTCTTACTCATGTTTCTCTGATCGTGGAGGCCCTGCCCAGCTTGTTCTAGTGCTCAGCCCCCAGAACTTGCCATGGCTGCCACTGCTGTTGCTGCTATCACTGCTGTGTGTGCCTGGCTGACCTTAATAATTAAAAGTATGCTTTAATTAATAATTAAAATACATTTTAGGAAACTGTTGTATTAATTCCTAAATTCAGTGTATTCAGTGGCAGGTGATGAAGAAAATACTCTTTTAAATGAAAGAGATATTCTTCAAGTTCTTCATAAACTTGAAGACCATGGTATTATATCAGGTGTATTAATCAGGCATTTAGAAATTCCTCTTTTTACCCATAAAATGTTGTTTAGGTAAAATATGCAGAACTTCAGAATTTCATTTAGTATTCTGTTTCAACAGCCATGACTTCAAAGAAAATACACAGATCATGGCATCCTTTACATTACAATACTGTAGGTGTGGGATAAACAACCTCTGCTAACCTGAGAAAAATAATAGTTTCCTTTTAAAAGAAAAAGTAGGAGGTGTAGGAGTAGAGGAAGAAGGATTATTGAGCAAGTTAATTAGAAAGAGCCCAAGGGAAAAGTTAGGAAATTAAAGCCCATAGAATCAGCATGACAGCAGCTAAAAATATATCGCTACAAGATACGCTGAGGGTGGGGAGCAGCAGGGAGGCAAATAAAGAATTTGATTAAACAGTGAGACATTTTTTTTGGTATTTGATTTCTATATTTCTTGTGATCCAGCCTCAGTAAAACAGTGGAATAATAATTATACTTCTCAGATTCATGCTAACCTTTAGCACAGAGATTACTGAAAAGTTAAATATTCAAGGCTAACATTTGCTACATCAAAAGACAACATCTCATGGGAAAGCAAATATACGAGTAGTATGTGGCACAGTTTGGATACAGTTTTATGAGGAATGAAAACTTAGGAAGGGGAAAGTGGAAAAAATAACCTTAGTAAATATTATAATATTATTTGAGTAATACACAATTGAGAAGTTGTGATGTGTTGCTCTGGATGGTAGCGGAAAGCAAAGACTAACATGCAGTAGATTTCAGAGACAGATTTTGTTTTAAAGGTTTATGTCACTTTCTCTGTAAGATCTGTTCTAATCTTTGATCTATTCTAATGGTACTTCTCTTGAACAGAGAAAATTACATATAATGTTGATTTTTGCTTTATTGAATGTGACACATATCCCTCAGTTCTGGATGTACATGTGCCAGAGCAAATGCCTAAAATGTGTTAGAGCAAACAGGTTGGCTTTTTATAACTGCTCACAGTGCCTGAATTTTTAGAAGTTAGGGGCGTGCCTACATGTTTACACATACATGAGTAGGTAAAATGAATGTATACAGCAATTAAAAAAAGTATATTGAATAAGTACTTGTCCGAATGTGATACATCTGGTGAAGTCCCTTTCATTAGTTTTTTTAAATAAACTAAACATTTAAACTTTTTATTTCCCCAACTTGTTCTTTCCTTAAAGAAATTTTTGGTAGGTGGTGACTTCCTAGGGCAGAAAGCATCACAGGATGAAAGAACAAAAAATTTGTATTCCTTTGCTGGTTCTCCCACAGGTGCTTTATGCAAAACACATATTCTTATTGTATGTTGGGTTCCCCATATGTGAAATGAAAGAGACTTCTTAGCAAAGATCCTGGTTATTTTCTTCACTCTTTGTCTCTCCTAAATGGAAACAATTTTGTTTTAAACACCCAGTTCATTCACCATCAGTGGGTTATTGCCCTAATTACAGCTTAAATAACTTATGAAGTATTTTGTTTTGTGGAGCTTTCTGTTTCACATAGCTAATAGAGTACAGGCTTGTTTAGTGAACCATGATACAGATAGTTTTGAATGTAAATTTTTCCCCCCCCCTAAGCTTGGGAACAGTTTTTCTCCCAGTATTTGAATTAACTGTCAACAGTACAAAATACTACAATGTGGCATGTCATTGAAGTTACAGGTAGAGGAAGAATACTGTGAAATTTATCTATATTGAATAAAGATAGCATTTCAGATTTCAAGTGGTGCAGCTGAGCTCCTAAAAGGTCTTTAGAAAGAAGCAGTGATTAGTCCTTTTAATTATAAAGTCACAGCCAAGCTAGGTTTTTTGTATCTTCAGAGAAAATTAATTAAAATTAATATGCAAATATTTCTACAAGTTCTTTATGATGTTTCTCAATAAGAACATTCTCACTGTTTTGTATGAGTTCTGCTTTATTTGATTATTAGGTAAAATGCATTACAAAACTTTTTTGGGCTCAAAATGAATGTAAAAATACTTATGAAATATTTAGGAATACTTAGTGCTTTTAAGCAGATAGCTTTCTATGTCCCGAGTAAAACTGGGTCTGGAAAATACTTTTCTGCCTCCCCCATCATCCCTTCCTTTTTTCTAGGGAGGTAAGAGGATCAGAAAGTTGTATTTTAACCTTTTCCTTTTTCAGTTAACACTGAAGGTGTTAATCCTCTTGTTCGCCGACGCTATTAGTTAAAGGCATAGACCATTCTGTGGGCAGAGCATCAGTTCACTAAGTGCATTGCCTCAGAGTTGCAATGCTTGACAAATTTTAAGTTTTACCAGGATGCAAATGTGTGAGAATCTGATAGAAGTTAAGTCATTCATGTGGGAATTTAATTGTCGGTGTAACCATGACCCCTTGTTCTGTTATCTCTGATATGTATAAAGTAATTGGTATAATGCTTTTCAGTGAAGTGTGTTTTATCTTCAATAAAATACAGCAGTTTGTTTATACCCTACAGCAATGGCTGTGTCCTTAGGTAGTTAGATCCTTCTTCAGCAATTTCTGATACTGCTGTATTTACATTAAGTTCTTACGGGCCATTAGTGTAGCAGATTTGTCATGGCGCATTTGGAAAATGAGTTGTATATGACTAACTAATTAGTTGAAGGCATTACAGCCATGGGTTTGTCTCTCAGTTGTTTTACATGCAACTAAAAAGCCAGTCCCATTTTAGGTAATCTGCCCCTTTTCTGAGGTAATTTTTGGATTACTGTATGTCAGGAAAGGGATAGGGCACATGGTCTGAATGTGTTAATCCAAATAATACTTTTAATATGATTAATGGAGCTTCTTGTTTGTTATAGCCCCACTACATATGTTTTGGATGAAGATGAACCTCGCTTCCTTGAAGAAGTTGATTACAGCGCAGAGAGTAATGATGAAGACGTTGAATTAGCTGATAATGCAGGTGATTATGAGGCAACTAATCAAGATGATGGACTTTCAGACCAAGATTCAACAAGGATACTCCTTTCTTGAACCAGCTTTGCTGCCAGTAACAGAAAATAAAGTATCCTGAATTTCCAGTCACATACTTCCTTGCTGTTTTCTACAAAGGGGATAAGCTTCAGTTAAGACAAATAACTGGGGCCTGCATAGCTCAAGGACAGTAAATATTTCTGATAAATTTGCATTTGTTTTGTTTAAGGAATTCTGTGTATTCTTTAAGCCCTAAATAGATAAATTTGTTTACCATTTTATTTTCTACTAAATAGTACTGCATGGCATTTTGTGTTTTTAAACCCTATCTTCAGAGAAATGGATTATAATTTTTAGTGTGTCAGAGTACAGAAAATAATTTTTTGTGGTACAGTTCTTTGAGTTGCTTCCTGAAAAATACATATGTACAGATTTTCTAAATTAATTTGTGTATGTCTGTGTATATGCGCGTGTGTATACTGAGGTGAAGAGGTTATTTTTCGACATTATTTCAATGATACTTGATTGTGTTGAAGCAATGTAGTGCCTGCTCTGAAACACTTCAATTACTAAATTAAAAATAAGAACATGATGTATGAATTTTTGCACTTGTTTCTTGCTTCTTATGATTATGTGGTTTTGCCACAGTATTAAGTGAAAATTCTTACTAATGTCTGTTCAGAGTTCAGGAATTTTGCACAGTGACAAATGCAGCCTGTGCTTAGAAGAACTAGACTGTTGTATAAAACTCACCCATAAGATAGGCATGATTTAATTTGAAGAAGTTTTCTTGTTAAGTGTACTTGTCTACAGGAAGAGGTCAGGTATGTACACTCTCTGTATATTCAGCTACACAGCTGCTCCATTTTTCTTCTTGAATATGCACGTAGTTAAAAAGTGTTCACTTTACCGGAGGCACATTAACTATAGACCCAATTCAACTGCTTTAACGGGGATAGTGCATTTCGGTTTCAACCTTTTTGTCTGATTGCAACCTAGTATTAACTCTGCTGTGATAAGGAGATTGGACTGTGACTTCCTGAGGTCTATTGCAGGCTGAATAATTATTCTGTAGTTCTGTATTCTTCATGTTTAAAGTCAAGCTGTCAGGTATGGGATTTACACTTCTTCATCTCCTATCGTCTTCTAATTCTTATTGCCTCTTGCCTCTGCTTGAAATAAGATCTAATAGAGAAATGAAGAGAGTTGTAGTCTGTGGTTTACAGAATTGACATGTTTTGCGATGAAAAATACTTTTCAAAAATTATTTTTACTTGATGTGACCCAGTTGTGGCATTCATTTTCTTCTGCATGAGCAAAGGCTTTAGAACATGAAGAATAACATTTCTAAGTTACACCAGGTTTTTAACTGATGAGGATTTTCTGTATGTTTGTTGTTCCAAATAAAACTGTATTTGAGAGGGGAAGGGCATCTTCAGTAGCGGGATTAAAAAAGAATAAAATTTATGAGAATTAACTGTATCAGTGTTTTTCAGCCAGGAGTTGTATTTGCACCAGGATCTGTTCTTTCAAATTCAGCATTGTTTGATAATGCCTTTCCATACTATCCTGATTCTGAAACTGGGGTAGGGGTTTGGATCCCTTGTTATATGCATCTGTATTTTTGTTTAAGGGCTTAAATTTATATTAATAAACATATGGAGGTTTATTAGGGGTAGGGATGGAAAACGTGGAAAAGTTGGAAACATTTAGAGTCTTGTTCCTTTTTAAGTTTTTCTCTGCAGTGAAAGTTATTCTTTCCTTGTGTTCTGTGAACTACATACTGTAAATAAGAAGATTTATTTATTACCCTGTTGAAGAGGAGCACTCTGCATTGAAAGTAGAGGAATTTGGGAAAGTGTCAAATGGAAGAATTATCCTTGCCCCACAGAATTTGAATTATTTTTCTGTCCAATGACAGCAGTTCAGAATGCTCATATTGCCCTGTTAGTCGTAGACTAGTTATCTGCATAAATAGATTTTCATCCTTAAGGACTCCTACTTCAGTGGGAATAGTATTCATAAATAAAATTATTCATAAACAATTTCACTTAAATTTCACAGAATGCAGGATGCCACATGTTTGTTAACTGCATTGTGCATGTCTTAGGTTTCATTTGAATTTGTATTAATCTTGGAAAACTATTTTTATGCTACTGGCAATACTAGAAATATACTTCATCCATTTAGAAAGAATGGTGGCTTAGTAGTACAAAATTGTATTTTTCTCCTAAGTATGTATGTATATTCGTTCTTCTTATGACTCCTAGAGCATTTAATCTTTGCAAAAAAAAAAAAAAGTTATCAGCTATATAATGTCTCAGGATAACATGTTTATACATTAGATTTCAATGCTGTTATGCATTAGATGTCACTTAGGTGTTAGATGTCACCCTGGCAGCTGTTGGTCTGAGCTTCTGCAAGTGTAATTCTAATGCAAGAGGTGAAACTTTGTCCCTATCTTACACATTGTTGAAAATGCAAAGGTTGTTACCTCAAACATTTTCAAGTACTTGCCTTTTGAAAGGTAAAGTCTCCATTCGTGCTCATGGGGATGCCAGTTCATGGGAAGAACTGCTGCAGTGAGAACTGCTCCATACTGTTTATCCCTTCTCCAGTACCTGTTGCCATTGTTGCAGTGGTGTTGACAGACATGCTGGTGCACCCATTTATGTGTTTTGGTGGGAAGTCTGGTGTTTGGCTGAAAAAGGAACAGCTAACACTTGAGCACACTCAAGTGTTATTGTGGCATTTGCCCTGAAGAAATGGGTAGATGATAGCAAAGAATGGCAGCATCTTGGACTGTCTCAAATCAGTCACTGAGCATGGTCTGTCCCAGACAATTTACTGTCTTTATTCTATGCATTGGCATTTCAGTGTGGCTTTGGTTTTAAATGATGGTGTGTGCTATAAGCATGACTGATTCTGTATAGGCAAAGAAGATATCCCTAGATCTTTCTCCAGTAATAACAACAAATAAGACTATAAAAAATAATTACATCTGTGTTATTTACTGTCTTGCTTCTAAGTAATTGCTGGACAATGAATTACTCTATTCCCTTTCCAGAAATAATTCAAGTTGCATCACAAATTTTGGTACTGTGTTTTCACTGGTGACATCCCCTGGTGTAATATAACTTAAAGCAATTTGTGCCAAAATCTTGCCTGGTCGTTTTTCGAGGTGGATATCTTTATCAGCCTGACTTACCAGGGAGTTTGGTTTGAATCTCAAATAAGACTGCAGAAGCAGTAAACACTGTTCACAAATGCAAAAATACAAGGTTTCAGATAATTTCTGTTGTAATACTGTAATAAATATAATTGTTGCAGTGTTAGTGTGCATGCCCCAAATACCAATACTTACTAATAAAGATGCATAATAAAGGATTACTTACAATCTTTTGCTTCCCTATTATTGGTTAGTGATAATTAAGGATTCCTCATTCTAGCATTTGCAGTAATGTTCTTACCTGTAAGGACAGCAGTGTGCATAGCATTTAAAAAAACATATTTTGTTTTCTGTGAAATTAAACTCAGTGTGCTACAGGCTTAGAGTAGCATTTGCATATTAATTGACTGAATTATAACTATCTAAAAATTTCTGAGATTCAGCAGTGTTTGTAAAACTTATGAACACTGGATGAACCACAATGAAGATCTTTGCAGAGCACACAGAAGAGCCTTATAGTGAGACTCTTTCCTTCCCACACAGTTAATAGGCTATTAATCAGATCTAGGAAAGGCACAAGATTATTCCTCAATAAGTCATCCCTTTACAATTTAACTCAGACTGCAGTTGAGTTATTTTTACTATATATGTTTTTGTAGCAGCAGTTTTAAGATTTCAGCAATTTTTTGAGAGAAAACTCAAGATAAAATGAGGTAATCTAGTTTTATGCAGCTGTATGAGAAGAGCAAGTGATTACTAGGAGTCATCAATGTAACTTTTATAAATACATTTGCAGTTTATTTAACCACACCTGTCACGTTGCTTTAAGTTGAACAGCTTCACAAACTTTGTTGTCTAAATAATTTTAAGGATCTACAATAGTCACAGTGTCAAATTAGTCTTAGGATATTTTTATCAGTGTTTGTAAGGTCATCAGGATGCAAGTCATTTGAGATATGAGCTCACATCTTGTTTGCTTAAGTAAACTAACTCTAGGTTGCTTTTAAAGGCAGGCTTTAAATACAAAATGCCAAACAGCTGTGACACCTAGTAAAGAATACATTGTCTTGGCTGTTTTTAACAATATCATATAAAGAACTCATCTAACCCCTAAATAATTCTTCATAACTATGAAAGACCCTCCCTTATTGTTATTAGAAAAAGTTAGGTGCTGTATTTCTTTTTGCCTTTTTTAAAACAAACAAAACAAAGAAAAAACCCAAAAGCAAAGAAAGAAACAAAAAACCCTCACCAAAATGTAGTAGTGTGACTTCACTCAGTACAGCTCTTATTGGAGCTCTTATACAGCTTTTGAAGCAGTTCAGAAAGAATCATTGGTACAAAAATATGGGTTTATCATCAAAGGAAATGACGCACTCTAGGATTTGCTGATCCAAATTATGTGGTTATGAAATGTCAACCAGATTCTGCCTCTTGTCCTTGCAACATTCTTACCACAAGATGTTTGTGCTTAGAGATGCCCTTCTCTCTAGCATGGGCTTATTTCTCATGCAGCTTTTTTCATGGTAGATTGGAAGAATATATACTAGCAGCACCTCATTATTGCATAACTACTGTCAATTTTCACCAAGCTGAATGCTAACTGATAAAAGAACCTGACTAACAAAATTCCACAATAGTACTTCCATACATGAAATACTGCTGTTAACATAGAGAGGGGATATTCACTTTAAATGACCTGAAATAGGACTTTTCTTTACATTGTCCCTCCAGACATATAAAGATAATAAATTTCTGTGAGCATAAAATGCTCTTAGCTGACAGCATTGCATTCATGCTCATTTTGTTCCCAAAAGAAAATGGACATGAAAAGATTTCAGTACAAACAAGACAGAAAGCACAGAGTAAGGAAGACAAATGATCTTTAATACTTTGTATAGTATTTGGTTAATGGTACTGTATTTACATAAACTTTAACGATAGTCCAGCTGACCCCACAGATTAAAATGGTTCGATTGTACACTTTATGAAGACAAATTGAGATGTGCTGTGCAAACCTTCAGCCAACAGACTGCCTTAATACTTGGCCTTGATCATCATCCCACGCAATTTAGTACTTTATACTGCCAAATGAAAAGTCTTAAACTGAGTCAGGCAGTATTCCAAAATAAATGCTTTGGGGTTTTGTCCTGTGAAGATTTTTGCAAAATTTTCAGATTCTCTGCAACAATCATCCTCCTGTTCTGGCTTTTCTGTAATCACAAAAGACACGAGTCCAATTTAAAAGTACATTGTGCTTGTGTACAGTTTTACACCCATTCAGTTTAATCCATGTCTGCTCTAGGTTACTTTCCTCTTCTGAAGCATCCAGTCTAGTCAAGTCAGTCCTTTAGCTTAAGTGATGAGCCAGTGATGTCATCCTCTTCTTTTTGTTCTGACCTCACCATTGACAGAAGCTTTCTGTTA